TAGACTTCAACTCCCAGAATCCCCCAGCCAGCCATGAAGTCCAGACATTAAACAAGAATGCCGGAAATATGGATGGGGGAAAAATGACTCACACAGCGACCGTGCCCTGGAACCTGGGCATTCCTGGCAAGGAGGAAACTGGGCTATAGGGATCCTGGTTGATCCCCAAGCAGCTTTGCTTCTCCTCCATTTATCCATCTCTCTTTCCTGAAGCAGGCACTGCGGAAATTCTAGCGTAGACGGACACCAGGCTATAATTCAGTTCTATGCAGCCTATCATGGTATAAGGAGGGGAGGGCCGTGATGACTTGTGGACTTCAACTCCCAGAATTCCTTAAGCCGGTCATGCTGGCTCAGGCATTTTGGGAGTTGAAGTCCACAGGCCTTAAAGTGGCCAAGCGTGGACACCCCTGATCTAACCATCAGCATTATTAAGTCAATTTTCTAAATTTTCTTTCTAAAAACGCACTAAAAATGACCAGACTATGGTCAATTTGAAAGGAGAGGACTATTTTATCGATAGCTATAGAATAAAATGTGAAAGTTAGAAACATTAGTGAAATATAGAAAATATGTTGATAGAATACATTAAGATGAGGATTGTTATAATATATTATGCATATCAGTATTAAAGAGTACAGAATTAATATGAATGTAATGGATAAAACTATAGAATCTAATTGTTATTGCACAAGATAGTTGAACCCAGACAGTACACTGGTTAATGGAAGATGGTTTGTATTAAAAATAAAACTAAAAATTTAAAAAAAATGGAAAGGAGGCAGACTCTATATTTGTAGGCGTGGTGTAGAAGTGTGTTGGCTAACCTTTTTGGGCTCCTGTGCCAAAAATTGTGTGCGCGCGTGCATGCCAGCATCCAGAAGGCAGTGTGCATCCCCCCGCGCCCTGTGCACACAATCCGTGCCCCACCCCTTTATGTGCACTGCCCTCACAACTGATCTTTTGGCTGGTTTGAGGCCTTTTTTGGCCTCCCGGAAGCTTGAAAAAAGCCTTTGCAAGCAGAATAATAGGCCTGTTTAGTCACTTCCGGTATGACAGGAAATGATGAAACAGGCCTATTATTCGTCCTGAAAAGCCTTGCAGTGGCTTTTTTCCAAGCCTGTGGGAGGCTGAAAAAGGCCTCAAACCAGCCAAAGAGTCAGCTGTGAGCCGCACACATGCGCAGTGAAGTAACTTTGCCTGCAGCTCCCATGCTGGCACAAATGGCTCTGCGTGCCACCGCTTCGCCATCAGGAGTGTAGAATATGTACCCAGAACATCCGGCTAGTTGTACGATGAACTGGGCTCAGCAAAACTGTGGCTTGAAAACATGACAGCAGTCTTCCAATATTTGAGGGGGGGGGCTGCCCCAAAGAAGAGGGGGGTCCACCTATTCTCCAAAGCACCAGAAGGCAAGAAACAATGGATGGAAACTAATCAAGGAGAGGAGTAATCTGGAATTAAGGAGAAACTTCCTAACAGTGAGGACAATTAACCCGTGGAACAGATTGCCACCAGAAATTGTAGGTGCTCCATCACTGGAGGTTTTTAAGAAGGGATATGACAGCCCTTTGTCCACAATGGTATACGGTCTCCTGCTTGAGCGGGGGTTGGACTAGAAGACCTCTAAGGTCCCTTTCAGCTCTAGCATGCTACGATTCTTCAGAGGCAAAATTCAGCTGCTTTCAAAAATCTGGTGACTTCTCAGAACTAAAACATGATTTTATTTTTTGCTTTTTTTTCCAGAGAGATTTTCCAGTTTCTCCATCCCTACAACGCTGTGGAGTTCCTTCTTATAGCTCGTCGTCTTTCTTTAACCACCATTTGAAGTTTACAATGATGCTGAGGAAAGTTGCTTGTGACTGACTGTTCCTCACACGTACAACCAGTCCCCACATTTGTGACCGGTCCCTGCACTTACAACCATCACAGATGTCATCCCCGTGGTCAAAATTCCTGCCCTTAGCAACTGGCATGCAGAAACCGAATTTGTTCAATGCCCCCAGAAAAAAAGGTGGTTATTATCAGGTGTGACTCCGTCAACGACCGCATCGCTTAGTGACTGAGGTTCTAGCCCCAATTGTGGTCGTAAGTTGAGGATTACCCAGTCTCCCATCCCGGTTTTGCCTTTTTTAAGGTCAGGCAGGATTAGTTAAGCGTGGCTGATAACTGGAACCCACTTGGTAAATATTAGTATCAAGAAATCTTTAAAAGAACATCACAGAGAAAAACCCAAAATAAGTAAGGAATAATCTTATAAATAAAAAGCTTTGTGTTGGGGCCCTTGCCTGTTGTGTAGCACCAGAGGGTACTACCTCTTTCGTACACCGGAGGACCAAAAAAAAAGTGTACAAATATAACACTGCACACTAAACCAAGTGTTTTTCAATCTTAGCAACTTTTAAGAGGCGTGGACTTCAACTCCCAGAATTCCCTAGCCAACATGGAGTGGCAGTCCACCCTTCTTAAATCATGTTGGCTGGGGAATTCTGGGAGTTGAAGTCCACACCTCTTAAAAGCTGCCAAGCTTGAAAAATTCTGCACTAAATGGAACTTCAGCCCTCACTTTTTTTTTTCCAAGCAGTTGTGAGAACCTGCTAACTCCAAAGATTGCAAGATTTGGGTTGGACTAGATGACCTACAAGGTCCCTTTCCAACTCTGTTATTAATCTATTAGAGATGTAATTCCTGGTTTGGTACATTGTTTAGAGCCAGGTACTAAGCTGAAGAAACCATGACAAAGTAAAGGTCAGTCAGATCCAACCTATCTCCTTCGTGTTACTAGGTTGCGTTCACACAGCAGGCGACTCCATTATAGTATCCAACATGGTTTACCTTAACCATGGCTTGTTTGAAAAGTGCTTAGAAACCACACCTGAAATCATTTTTCCCCGAGTGAATAAAACTGCATTGCACCTACCAATGGCTGTACCACCCCCAAATATCAGTCTCCAACTCATTTAACTGGGAACTACACTCCCTATTATCCCCAGCCAGTTCAGTGGAAAAGTAGCATGGGAACTGGAGTTCTATATATCTGTAGGTCTCCAAACTAAGAAGTGACTGAAACTAATTCTGTCTTTGACAAATAGATGCTCCTATTTTAAGCCAGACTACAAATTAACTTTTCCTAAACTGAGACTTTCCAAGGATAGTGGGACTACATCATGGGTTGTGTGTGTGTGTGTGTGTGTTTGTTTTTAATGTACGTTTTTTTAGAAAATTTCTACAATGTGACGAATGCTTTTAGTTAGCAGAACAATTTGGGTAAAATGCCGGCATTTAAACAAGCAGTGATCAAGATTGTGAAACAGGCAGAGGCTGAAGTGTGCAAAAACACAAACTCCTAGGTAGGAGGTGTGTGAGGGATTTTGTTTTCCAAGATTCAGGTCGAAGGATTTTGAATACCGAAGGGGGGAGGGAAAAAAAACCACTCAAAATCTTCCCTGCTTTTTTGGTATCTCCCCTCGCCATCCCACCCAACTCGGCACCAGCTGGAATTCCTGACCAAGCTTGTCAAATCAAACCCCAATCCAAGTTTCTAGCCCTCAACGTTCAGCGAGGCTTGTGGCCCACCAGTGGGCAGCAGAGCTGGCGGCAGAGTCAGGCAGTGAGGAGGCTGCGGGAGGAACCTGGGCCAGTCCTGGAGGCTTGCAGACAAGGGCTCTGCGTCGGAGGCAGAGATGGGGCCAGGGTAGGCTGGCAGTCAGCAACCGCCTTCAGGCTCAGGCAGCAGTGAGGCGGGGGAGCTCCTGGAACCGGTTCCCAACCCGCGTTATGCGGAGCTGCCAAAAGGAAGGCCCAATTAAGAACCAGGGTCGACGTGGGAGTAAGGCCACAGGTGGACGGTGAGTGGCCCCTCCCAGAGGGATTAAAAGAGGAGCCAAAGGGGAGGGGGGGCTTTTGCAGGAAACAGTTCGTTCGTTGCAGCAGTGTGAAGATCGGTCTGCATCTCAAGAGACTCTGCGCTGAGCCCTTCCTTGTCAGCACTGCGTTTGGAAACATTTACTTAGCAGCTCTCCAGGCTAGATAAGGCCTGTGCTCCTCATCAGACCCTTGAAAGACTGTTTGCCAGGCCTTTGGCTGAATGCGGATGCCAGAAATTCACCTTCGTTTAATAAAAGAGGTTTTGCCAGGACAAAAAGCCTGCTTAGTGCTTTTGGGGGAAGCCGAGGTCAAAACAGCGAGCCCCAGCGGGGAAACTAAACTGTTCCAGGAATCCCGGAGATGGGGAAGGATCTGCGGGGCTGGAAACGGATGAAGAATTGACCGAGTGCCGGATTTCGGGGACGATGGGAACGAGGAAACATCCAAACGCAGAACTCTTGAATTCAGCTTTTAATGCGAGAGAGGGTAACGGGTGGGGTGTTCGAACTGCCTGCCCCTCCCTGAGACTGGAGATTATCTGGGATTTGCGGTCCGAAGCAAAACGACGGGCTGGCTCTCTTCCTCTTCACCTCCCCTTTTGCCAATAGGGGTGGTGGAAATGCAGCAAATCCTGCACACACACCCTCCCCTCCAAAATCTTGGGGTACACTCCAGACTGAAAGCTACTCATAAACCAGCCATCCCTAAACAAGACTCGTAGCTAACGAATAGCCCCATTTCCATAATTCTCAGCAATAAGCCCACCAACTTCCCGCCAACCTGAAGACTCCCAATCCCATCGCTAAGAATTTCCCCGTGAAGGAGAGACGGTGGGCTTTGTGTCCCCTTGGAGACCCCGTCCTCTCTTGCAAACTCATCCCGTTCGGGTCTGAGGGCCCACAGATAACATTGGATCAGCCCTGCAATGAGCGGAGAGGTGGGGAAGGGTCCACTCTGCTTCGTCTCAGTGCTCGTTGCAAGTCCTCCCCCAATCTCCTGCCTGTGCACCAGGGATTTAGAGCAGGGGTCTCCAACCTTGGCGACTTTATGATTTGTGGACTGCAACTCCCAGAATTCCCCGGCCAGCATTGCTTTGCTGGCTGTGGAGTTCTGGGAATTGAAGTCCACAAGTTCTAAAGTTGCCAAGGTTGCAGACCCCCCCCCCCAAAAAAAAATTTAGAGCATGTTCGTCAGCAAGAGTGTTTCTCAACTTCAACCGGATTAAAAGATGGGTGGACTCCCAACTCCCCAGAATTTGGAAGCCTTCAAAGTTGGGACACATTATTGCTCTTGCGGTTTGCTTGAACCTTTCTGGCTTCTACCCAAACTATGTTCTGGATGCTGGTTTGTGGCCAAAGGATGTTTAACAGACACTCCGGATGCCGGGAGGAACCCTGCTTCGGCCCGACACCCATTTGGGACCCCCCCGAAAAGCATGCAATGGCAACGAGAACACGAATCCCTCGTCCAGGAAAGGGTGAGAGGATACAGAGTGGGAGTTCCAGCAAGGATGTGGTTGAGTGGGGACTTTTTGTGGGGAGATGTGCTCCGCGGTGACCCAACTTTCCTCTTCGGCAACGGGTTCCAGGAATAAGGATAGGCATAAAAAGAGGATAAAAACCACCAATTCTCCCTGGGAAAAAAATGGTCCTGCCTGTCTCGTCCTGGAACAGCCGTCGTCCGGCTTGTGGGGAAAAGAAAAAAAAAAGGCCTTGCCCAAGATTGGCCAGCGTATGGAGTCAGCTATCTCAACTTCCCGCGTGGAATCCCAGGGTTATTTATATTTTGGCTAGTTTTTTTTTTTAGGGGGACCTTCCCCCCCCCCCCCCCTGCAGCACCAGAGAAGATTACAGCCTTAAAACCTTGTATTACACTTCCTTCCAGGAGACAAACTCACACACGCATATATATGGAGACATATCTATCCGAGTGTAGATATATCAATCTATATATATATATATATATATATATATATCGGAACATACAGTATTGTACATTTGAGAAAGGCTGGGCGACTCGGCTTCGCGCAGAGCGGGGACATTCAAACTCAAGTCGCCCGCGGGCAACGCCCGGGGCAGCTCCCACCCAGAGCGCACACGTTGCTGTGCTCAGCTCGGCCGTCCGGAGGCGGTGGGGTCACTCATGCCTGCGCTTGGAAGGCGGCACCAGGTGGGAAGGGAGTTCAGCTGGCAACTCGTGCCCTTCCAGCTTGACTTTGATGAGATGGTTGGCCAGGGCAAACTCCTCGTCGTCCAGCAGTCCGTCCTTGTCCACGTCGGCCAGCTTCCAGATCTTGCCCAGGACGGTGTTGGGAAGCTTGGACTTGACCATCTCCTTCTTGGCGCTGGCGCCCGTGATCTTGCCATTGACGGGGGAGAGGGTGTAGAAGATCTCGTCGTAGGTGGGCTTGTCCTTGCTGACCACCCATTCCACGTCGTCGATGCCCTCGCCGGCGCCCTCGCCGTAGCCGTGGCCGAAGGGCCCGTTCATGGTGCCCTCAAACGCCCCGCCCTTCACCACTTGGGACGGCATTTGCGACTCCTCCTGGCGCACCATCACCATCAGCCGGGCGATGTCGTTGGCCAGCATGTCGTCCACCGCGTCCAGCAGCTTCTGCTTCAGTGGCTGGAACTTGCTGAAGTCCTGGGTCAGGAGCTGTTCCTGAGGACACACAAACACACCGAGTTGTGATTTGGGGCCAAGAGACGGACGGCGGGATGTGTTGACCGGCTGCAGAGGTCAACTCTGGGGTTCCCCCCCCCCCCAAATCTCCAAGGTCCCAACGGGAAGGACATTGGAGCTGTAACTGCCCTTCACAAGAGTTTGGTGCGAAACAATCAACAGTCAGTCCTCAACGATGGCAAAAGCGCTTAGACTTATAAACCGCTTCACGGTGCCTTCCAGCCCTCTCTAAGCAATTTACAGAAGCAATTTATATATTTTTTTGCCCCCCAAAATCTGGCTCCTCATTTGACCCACCTCGGAAGGACTGAAGGTTGAGTCAACCTTGAGCCTGGTGGGATTTGAACTGCCAAACTGTAGGCAACCGGCAGTCAGCAGAAGTCGCCTGCAGTACCACACTCTAACCACTGAGCCACCACAGCTGTTTGTGTTCATTTAAAGCGACCATTTAAACTCCGGTCAGAATTTCTGGCTCCGATCCTCGGAATGCAAGGAAAACAGGCCAGGCGCTACCTAGCAACGACTCAGCACCGCCACAAAGAGATCACCCCACCCACCCCAAATTCCAGGATTCAGCTTTCTGACAGCCTCCACACACACCCTCAAGTCCCCAAGAGTACAGGTAGTCCTCGACTTAAAATAGTTCCACTTAGTGACCATTCAAAGTTACAATGGCACTGAAAAGAAGTGACTTATGACCATTTTTCACACTCACAACTGTTGCAGCATTCCCCGTGGACACACGATCGAAATCCAGACACTTGACAACATATTTATGACAGTTCCAGCATCCTGGGGTCATGTGATCCCCTTTTGCGACCTTCCAACAAGCCAGATCCACTTAACAACCATGTTACTAACGAACGTAGCACTGATCCCCTTAACAACTGTGGCAAGAAAGGTCATAAAACAGGGCAAAACTTAAATAACGGTGTTGCTTTAGCAACAGAAATTTTGGACTCAACAGTGGCCGTAATTTGAGGACTACCTGTAGGGGGCTCAGTGGCTAACACGCTGAGCTTGTCGATCAGAAAGGTCGGCAGTTCAGCGGTTCGAATCCCTAGCACCGTGTCACGGAGTGAGCTCCCGCTTCCTTGTCCCAGCAGCTTCCGCCAACATAGCAGTTCGAAAGCACGTAAAAAAAATGCAAGTAGGAAAATAGGGATCCCTTTGGTGGGAAGGGAACAGCGCTCCATGCGCCTTCGAAGGCGTTTAGTCCTGCCGGCCACATGACCACGGAGATGTCTTCGGACGGCGCTGGCTCTTCGGCTTTGTAACGGAGAGAAGCACTGCCCCCTAGAGCCGGAAATGACCAGCACGGATGTGCAAGGGGAACTTTACCTTGTAGGGGGGGGGTAACATGACAATGTGTGATCCCACAGCTTGTCCCCCCCCCCCCCCCCCCGCCCCCAGGGCCTAACCCAAGTCTCTACCTGCATCTTACGGAGGCTGGGAAAATCTCCAGGTGAGATCTGGTGTTCCCGCTCGATCTTCAGGTAGATCTCACCCAGGTTGTTCAAGAGTTCCTTCTTCTTGCTCTCCTTGCCGAAGACGTTGGGCATCTCCTTCTTCAAAGAGCTGATGATATAGGCATGGACCTAGCAAGAAGCAGAAGGGAGAAGGGTCATGCCCCTGTGGAGACGGACTCCGAGGGAGAGGAGGAACAGCCGACAGGGAGCGGGAGTGTGGCTCTGGAGGTTGTGGAGGAGGCTGGGAAGGCCACAGGCCGGCTGGGCAGTCAGAGGAAGACCCAGGACCATCCCCTCTCCATCCTAGGGGCACGCAGGGAGGAGAGGATAAGGGAGAGGCGTGAACAGGATGGTCTATGGGGGAGGAAAGGGCCCTGATCCCCTTCATGGGCTGCAGCTGTGAGGACTGTTTAAAAGGACGGACATGCGTATGGGCCAGTGCTGGAAACAAAGCATGGAAATATCTCTGGTCTGTCAGTTCTTATCTGAGTTTGGCGTCCTTCCCAGTGTGTGTTTCGATATCTGTGGATGTCTTCAAGCCCTTATCTTGCCTGGTTCCCTTAATTGCTTCAGTGTGGTTTGTGTCGTTTTTACTCTATATAATTTATAGGCATTTTTAGTTTAAACAGCATTTCCTCCTTTTCGTAACTGCTTGTGAGGGAGTTTTTTCGTCTCCAGTCAAGGATATTTGGAGCTAGGAAGCAAAGGAATAGGGGCTTCCCCTGTTTTTGTATCCCACCCTGGGTCATCCCAAGAAGGCTGGGGAGGGGGCTTCTCAACGGAGTCAGGCTGGACTCTGGCAGAGGGGGCTGCTTGGCAAGACAGAGGCCTAGAATACACCTTGCGGGTGGGACACGTCCAAGACCCCAAAAACGCTGGACAAAAAATGCATACGTGGTTAAGAAAGAATGATAAAGCAACATATATGTCAACTCATAAAACATTTCGATGCCTGTTTTATGCATGGGGGTGGGTGGGTGGGGGAAACAGGGTCATAGGGGTTAGTGAATTACGTGTCTCAGAATCGGCTTCATGCAGATCGCGCGGACATGTTCGCTCCTCATACACCCTTTGATGTTTTTGAGGCTCATGGTTTAATGAGGGCACAACTGATAATATAGATTTAAAGCCAGAAATATTTTTGTTAGGTATACTACCTGAAAAAATATGAGAAAAGGGGTTGTTCGTTTAATATTACATGTGTTGATAGCAGCAAGAATTGTATTTGCACAATGATGGGGGGGAAAAACGAGGGAATTCCGACAGATGAAAATATATATTTTTTAAAAAAAAATGTGTGCAAATGGACAGGCTAACTTTAAAGATAAAGGAGAAAGAAGAGACAGAATATTTTTAAGCATGGGAATTATTTCACAAATGGTTAGACAACGAAGGTAGACATTAGAAGTTGGAAGAATACTAGCATTTACGGGTAAATATTGTTATTAGTACGGATATTTATGTGTAAGTTGACTCAGACAATAAGACACTGCACATTAAGCACGTATGTGTGATTAAAAATGTACAAATAAAACTTATTTTAAAAAATACACCTAGGATCATTGGCTTAGCAACCGTTCCAAGTTATGAAGGCACTGAAAAAGAGGACTTATCACTGGTTTTCACCCTTATGACCAACGCAGTTGTCCCCATGGACACGTGATCAAAATTTAGGCGCTTGGCAACTGGCTTATATTTGTGACGGTTGCAGCGTCCGGTGAACACGGCCGGCAACCTTCTCAACTGAGCTCCTACAAAGCAAAAAGTCCATAGGGGAAACCAGAATGCAGGATAACTGAACTGGAAGGGACCTTTGAGGTCTTCTAGTCCAGCCCCCTCCCTGCTCAAGCAGGGGGCCCTATACCATCTCAGATAAATTGTTGTCCAGTTTCTTCTTAAAAACCTCCAGCGATGGAGCAACCACAACTTCTGGTGGCAAGCTGTTCCACTGGTTATTCGTCCTCACGGCTAGGAAGTTTCTCCCGGTTGCTCCTCTCCTTGATGTTGTGGTCCGCCAGCAGCAGATGTGGAGGGCTGAGGTGTCGGAGAGCGAGGACTCGGATGAGGGGCCTGCGTGTGGTGCAGGGATGGGGCCAGGACCATCAGGGAGTGGAATGCGGCCTTCGGAGATTGTGGAGGCTGGCAGCAGTGATGAAGAGCGTCCCGAGGAGCCTGTGCCCAGTGTTCGTGTGTGCAGGGCTGCTCGAAGGAAAAAGCAGCTGCAGCAGCACGGGCGACTCGGGAGTAAGGCTGCAAGGCGATGGCCTCTCCCTTAAGGGATAAAAGCCAACCTGAGAGACCGGGATTCTTTGCAGGAAGCAAAGAAGTTTTTGCACTCAAGCCTTGTGGACGTTCGGACTCTCTTAGTTTATGTTTGAAGACTCTTTGGGTTTAAAATATTTCTTGGCCACTTTATCTAGTGTTCTTGGCAGCCTTGCACAAGCTTGGCAAGGCTGGCTCTTATCAATGAGTTTTGAAACAGCCTTTTAGCCGTGAAGGAACGGAATTCGTAAAGAATCATTAAAAGGTTTTGCTGTTACCTCTGTTTCGTGTTTGCTTCCTTGGAACAAGGTTTGGGTCAGAACATTTGATTAGCTTCCATTCATTGTTTCTTGTCCTGCCTTTTGGTGCTTTGGAGAATAAACTGACTCCCCTCTTCTTTGGGGCAGCCCCTCAAATACTGGAAGGCTTCTATCCTGTCACCCCCTACTCCTTTTGGTCTAGACTGGCCAAACCCAAATCCCGCAGCCGTTCTTCACACGTTTTAGCCTCCAAGTCCCCTAATCACCTTTGTTGCTCTTCGAGTCTCAACGTGTGTTTTCTATCATGGCAGCCAAAGTTAAATGCAATATTCCAACATTACCGGGCCCATTATAAAACCAGTGATTTTAAAACCACCCTTCTGTGAATGCAGCTTAGGGGTGCACTGGCTTTTTTGGCTGCCGCTGCACACCGCTGGATCATACTTAAGTAGCTCTCCACTAGACTCCAAGATCCCCCTCTCAGTTACTGTTAACTGAGCCAGGTATCACCTACTCCATACCTGCGCATTTGGTTTTTCTTGCCTTAGTATAGGACCCTTACTTTTCTCACCGATTTGGTTGGATAAAAGACCAGCGTTCGGACTGGACTGGATCTAGGGCTGTTATAAAAAAACTAAAAATAAACGGGAGGAGGAAGAGGCGGCCCTTCAAACCTGTCGGTGCAATGGCGTTGACAGATGTGCCCTCAACATGTCTCTCAGGGAGCCAGGGAAAGTTGGAAAGGGTGAAAGCAGCCCTAAAAAGAATTCAGGCCCAAATTGGCTAAAAGGCCCTTAAACCGCCATTTCTCAACGACAGCAACTTCTTCAAGTCTGGACTTCAACTCCCAGAATTCCATAGCCAGCACTGTTAAAGTTAAGAAACGTAATTTTAAGCTGAGAATTGAAGAAAGCCATCAAGTCAAATCTAATTCTAAGTGACCAGATAGTTTTCTTACCAGTCATACAAGGAAAAAAAAAATGCTTTGCTATCATCTTCTTCAAACTGTTTGGGGCTTTTGCGGGGTGGAGGAGGGCTTTTAAATCTAATCTATTGGCTTTGGCATCTCCTGGTGGTGTCTCGTCCAAGAAATACAAATCCAATCCTGCTCAGCTTTAGGTGTAGCCCCTCAACTTACTAAAATTGGGACCAAAAACGAACTGAAGCATTCATTAAGTGAACTGCGGTCCAATTTTACAGCCTTTCTTGCCATGGTCGTTAAGTGAATCCCAGAGTTATGAAGCAACTGATTTCTCCCCACTGAAACCCTTCTAGGATCAAATGAGCCCAGGACTCTGCAACCCTTGTCAACCCGTGTCGGTTGCATTTACAAGCGCCTGAATTTTGATCATGGGACTGGGGGGCATGCTGTGATGGTCGTAAGTGCGAGGACTGGTCATAACTAACTTTTTTTCATTATTACTGTCATTAGAGTTGCTCTTATAACTTCAAATAGTCCCTAAACTAATGGTTGTAAGTGAAGGGACTATACCAGGTTTCCCCCGAAAATAAGACCCTGTCTTACACTTTTTGTTGCCGCCAAAAAAAGGCACCAGGTCTTATTTTCGGGGGACGTCCCCCACTGACTAGCCTCAGTTGTGCGCCGGCCTCCTTTTAACTGTCAGAGGCCTTCAGGAACTTCTTCTACGGCCGGCAAGGCTTTTCTGAAGGCCCCTGCAGCCGATAATGGAGCTCTGGATCGATCCAGAACTTTGTTACAAGCTCCAGAGGCCTTCAGGAAAGCCTTGCTGGCTGCAGAAGAGATGGGCCGGCAAGGCAGGTGTCGGGGTGTGCGAGGCCCGGCTACAACTGTCCGAAGGTAAGTAGTAGGGCAGCTCCACCTTCTGCCATCCCCACCCTTAATTTTTACCCGTCCATTCTGGAATGGGTAGGATCTTAATTAGGGCTTATTTTTGGAGGGTAGGGCTTATATTGGGCTCACATGTAAAAAAATCAAGCTAGGACTTATTTTCCGGGTAGGTCGTATTTTCAGGGAAACAGGGTATCGCCTTGTCCATTATCCCCCCCCCCCGTTGTAACTTTGAATGGTTGGTGAATGAATGGTCGTACCTCGAGACAAGTGATTCCTCTATTGCAGCATCTGTTAACCTCAGCTGGGGAATTCTGGGGAGGTGAAGTCCACGCTTCCTAAAGCTGGCAAACCGTGGGTATGTAGGGGGGAAAACCTTTGCAAAACACAAAGGAACTTTTATGGAAGTTGACGAGAATCTGCCTCTTGAATCAGGAACTCGGATAAAAGGTTGAGTGGAGTTTTCTGGGAAATTTTTCTAATTCCCTCCAAACCTTCACAAAGATCAGATTTTGCTGAGTGGGACTTCTCCTTTTCATTGGCTGCACTTATTTAAAAAGCACGCACTGCTCTGTTTTTTTTGTTTGTTCTGCAAAACTCTTTCAGAAAAAGGTTTTTTTTTTTTCCCCTTTAGCACATCAAAGGTTAATTTTTTTGGGGGGGCGGGGTGTAGAAGCAGGAAAAAAAAGGAAGTTCTCCCCTGGCTGGGGATGTAGGTTACAAAATTCAAAGGTTAACTGAGATTTCACTTTTGATTGCAGTGCAGTTTAGCACATCCCAGATAACTGCACAAGGGAACAAGTGCTGCAAAAAACAAGGGACCAATTTAAGGTCTACATTTAACATTTCAATCTCAATTTAAGGGAATTCTACCCCCCATTCCACTCACCCAGGTGCAATGTCCATTTTTCCTCAATGGGATCATTAATGCAGATTTTTTTTCCCCCCCATATGAAAGGATGCTCTGTTGGAAAATTTGTGCGTTTCCACAAAGGGATCTTTTTAAAGAGAATTGTGCCCTAGGAAGGCTTCTGCTGCGGCTGTTTGTGCCTTCACAAAAACAGCACATTCCTAAAAATAGGATATGTGTTTGGTGGGAAATTTTCTAAGCCAAGTCTCGGCTTTTTTGGAATTAATACCCCAAAAGGCCAGATTTTTTCTACGAATGGAGCCAGTAACAGACACGCAGTAAAATAATAAATAAAATACAGATCTAATTTTTAAACTTTAAAACTTTCTTTTAAACTTGGGGGGGAGGGGGGGGGATTAGGAAGTCAGCGGTAATTGTAGGACATTTAAAAGAAAAGTCCTTGAAAAGTTTAAAAGTTCCTCACTTAATAACCTTAGCCAAAAAAAAGGGTCACAAAATAGTGTGGAAATCATTTCTGGTTGTGTGGTGACTCGTTTTATGACTGCCCTGACTTGGGACAGAAATACCAGCCCCAGTCATGGTCCTAAATCGAGGATTTATGAGTATTTGCAGGAAGGAAATCGAGTATTTGCAGGAAGGGTCAAAGAGACCAGTCCGCTCTCTGTACAATAAGGTGTTTTGGCAACCTTAAGACTGCTGGACTTCAACTCCCAGACTCCACCAGCCAGCATGGGTTGCCATGTTTGCGGATCCTTGCTTTAGGGCAGGGGTGTCAAACCCAATTTCATTGCGGGCTGCATCAGAGCTGTGGTTGATCTTGTGCGTGTGTCAGGCGGGTGTGGCCGACTGTGTGGGCGCGGCTGGTTTGACGCCACTCCCCAAACTGCTGGCATCTTTCCTCTTCGCATTGAGTAGACCAGGCCGAAGCCACCCAGGCCGGATCTGACCACGTCATGGGCCGGATGTGGCCTGCAGGTCTTGAGTTTGACATTCCTGCTTGAGGGGATTGGCAAGGGTCCTGTCTGCCTTCCTGCCTGTGTAAGGACAGGCAGGGCCTAGGGGGGGCGGTATCAAGAAAGGAACTAGCCTGGAATCGTTACATTCTCCCAAATGGTTGAAATCGCCTTGAATTCCACTAACTCTTCTCTGCTAACCTTTAAGCAAGATTTTCTATAAGCAAGAGCAATAAAATCAGCTTAACTGGAACTTAGCTATGAAGCGGAATACAGATAGTCCTCGACCTACGACCACAATTGATCCCAATGTTTTTGTTGCTAAGTGAGACCTTCGTTAAGTCAATGTTGCCCCATTTCTTATGACCTTTCTTGCCACAGTTGCCAAGTGAACCACGGCAGTGGTTCAATTAGCAACGTGGTTGTTCAGCGAATCTGGCTTCCCCGTGGTCAGAAAGTCGCAAAAGAGGAATCTCGTGATCCTGGGACACTGTGACTGTCATAAATACGAGTCAGTTGCCATGGGGATGGTGCAACATTCATGAAATGTGAAAAACAGTCCATCGGTCACCTTTTTTTCAGTGCCGTAACTTCCAACGGTCACTAAGTGAACTGTTATAAGTCAAGGGATACCTTATAAATGGGATAGCTAAGTGTTCTTAATGCGCAGTCTGGATTCTTTGCACCTCGCAACCCATCCCAGACTAGCCAGACTTCAAAGATGCCCAAGGCTACCTTTCCCCCATCGCCACTGCAGCCTCCATCATTCCCAGACGTCCCCCAAATGTCTGGACAGGCAGCGCTTCAGACGGTTGTGAATAAGAGGAGGAGGAAGAGGGAGGGAGGGAGGGACGGAGACAGAGAGAGAGAGAGACTGAGAGTGAGCCTGTGTCATCAGTCAGCCCTCAGATGGAGAGTCCACAGCCCCCAGGTCTGGAGGTGGCTGATGTGGAAGAGGAGGAACAGCCGGGTCCAGTGCCTGACGCAGAAGGCAGAGGAGAGGAGAGGAGAGCAGTGGAAATCTATGAGCCGGCCCTTGGGACAGAAGAGCCACCGCTGCTTGTGAAGCCCCACCCTAACTCTGGGGATCAAAGGCAGGGGGAGGAGACGAATGGATGTGGCAGACAACTATTCACCTTCCGGCTGGCTCGACTTCAAAGCCGGCGTTGAGAGAAACTTTTTGCCGGAGCCGCTGGCGCTCCTAATAAAGGCATCTTTTGAGTTCACGTCAAAGGGTTTGTCGTGTTTGGGGAGCTGGGTGAGAACACTGACCTTGGCCAGCCGGGCCCTCTTGATGAGGTCGTTCAGCTTCCGGAGGGCGGCGTTGCGGGGCAGCGACTGGATGTCCTTGAAGAGATCTTGCTCTTCTGCCTCGAAGAGTTTACGGTTGTCCGGGATGAGTAGCGGGTGTGACCAGAAGGATCCAATGTAGACGCGCACCACCTCCGGGGTGTTGATAATCTTGCCCAGTGACCACATCAGCGCCCCGTAGACGCGCATCAGCTGCTGTGTCTCGATCTGGTCCGCCTTGTTCAGCACCACACGGATCTTGTCCTCGTGGTTCTTGAGACCTTTGATCACCTCCGAAAACTCATCCGAGATGTCCAACTTGTGGGCGTCAAAGAGCAGGATGATGCGGTCCACCCGCTCCGCGAACCATTCCAGCACGGCGGCAAAGTCGTATCCTGTGGGGAAACCGAGGCAGAGGTCAGGGACTGGACACACCTGGCCGGCCCTATTGGGAAAGTCCAACTGGTTCAGAGGAGCCAAATTCGTACGGACAACTCGTCCAGATTTTGGATAATCAAAAAACCACATGCCTGGCACGCAACTGGGGATGACTCAAGTCCCCTGCCACGATCACCATCTTCTTTTAACAGCCCCATAATCCCTAGCGGAGTGGAGTCTGGGCCACTGAATGGAGCTAGCAGAGGGTTTTACTGGCTGGATGCCCTTCCTGTCGCCAGTATGGAGTTTTGTTCCGCAGATATATTCTCATCATGACCAGAGAGAAAAATACCTCTCTCTACCTGGGATTGAACTCGCAACCTCCTGATTGCGAGGCGAGAGCTCCATGTGGCCGGGGGCTGGGGAGAGAAACACCTGGCCGTCAGAACCAGCTCATATATATCCCCAAGGAAGTCTGTTGTATCTCTGAACTGCCGATAAGAACTTAGTCGTAAGTCGAAGACTACCTTTATGCAGTGTGTCCTTGAAAAGGACTCTCCCATCCTACCGGGGATTCCTGTTGAGCCCAAATCCCTCTGTTTCCTTCTGAACCACAACTAGAAGTGTACTTTTTAAAATAAATGTTTGTTAAATGTTTACAAAAGACACAAAGGAAGAAAAGAAAAGAAAAAGGAATTAAAAAAAAAGAAAACAGGAAGGGAAGGAAGGAAGAAGACAGGGAAGGAGGGAGGAAAAGACAGGGAGGAAGGAAAGAAAAAAGGAAGGAAAGAAAGGAGGAAAAGATACAGGGAGGGAGGGAGGGAGGGAGGGAGGAAGGAAGGAAGGAAAAGTAAAGAGAGACAAGGAAGGAAGGAAAAAAAGAGAAGGGATGGAGAGAAAGACAGGAAGGAAGGAAGGAAGGAAGGAAGGAAGGAAGGAAGGAAAAGTAGACAAGGAAAGAAGGAAGGAAAAAAGAGAAGGGATGGAGGGAAAGACAGGAAGGAAGGAAGGAAGGAAGGAAGGAAGGAAGGAAAAGTAAAGGGAGACAAGGAAGGAAGGAAGGAAGGAAGGAAGGAAGGAAGGAAGGAAGGAAGGAAAAGTAAAGGGAGACAAGGAAGGAAGGAAGCAAGCTTGGGATTTCCATTGCAGCAAATCTAAGTCCAATTTCCAAAATCTCTCTTCCGCTAGTCTAGCGTTACAAAAGGGACCTCACTGTTTTCTCCATATTTTCCCTTAATCGTCAAAACCACAAATCGTAAGTGCATTTTTTCCACTTTATGCAAAAAGTCTATTACGGGTTTTCCACTCAGCCACAAGTACAGATTACTGTTTTCCCTCCAGAGCAAAGAAGTCTAATTTAGCCATTTCTTGCAAACCCCATAAATTTAGCAAGCCGGGGAATCCCCCATCCACGCCACCCTCCTTGTCCAGATTCGTACAAATCTCTCCCTTTTCTTTTGAGCCCTGAGGACTAGCACCTTTATTTTCCCTGGGGTGGGGGGTGGGGGAAGCCTTGCTACTCTGCCAAAGCGGAGTAGCTTACAACAACCAGGCCAGAGAGGAAGAAAGCATCCCCATTGTCTCAAACCCAGGAAGCCAAAGGACAGCAAAATATCTAACGTCTTGCACAAGCCAGCTTTCTTGGAAGAGGGCGGGAGGGTTGCCGCTGCGTGCTGAAATCATTTCTGGCTCTCAAACCTATTTGCAAACTGTGGAAATATGCGCTTGGGAGGGAGATTCACGGAGACTTTCTCGAGAAAGAGGGGTGGGGGGTAAAAAAATTCTATGCATGCACTTACTGAACCCCTCCCAAAGATCTCTGCGACAGGAAGACGCCCACAACGTTTTAGTTCATTTGGGAGAAAGGAAAAAACACTCGGGGTGGACGGTTCCATTTTGGTCACACGAGCGTGCCAAGAATGCGGAGCGGGTCAGCCGGGCACATAAGGATCGACTTTACTGACGCACAGCTAGTCCTTGACTTACAACCGCAAGGGGAGCCCAACATTTCTGCTGTCAAGTGAGACAGATTAACAGGGTTGGAAGGGACCTTGTAGGTCATCTAGTCCAACCCCCCCACCCAAGTAGGAGACCCTCCACCATTTCTGACAGAGGGCAGCCCAGTCTCTTCTTGGAAGCTTCCAGGGATGATGAAGCTCCCACAACTTCCAAAGGCAATTTCCGTTCCATGGGTTGATTGTTCTCCCTGTCAGGAAATTCCTCCTTATTCCCTGCTCTTGTTCACCCTCCAGACTCTCCGCAAATGAATTTGTTTTATTCATATTTCATGTTTATAATTATTTGATGTTTCTCTAATATAAAATACACAGCACGACACACGACTGGACTGTAATTTATTAAAAAAAAAATAGACGAATGTATAAAACAATTCGTTCTCTTTTATCCAAGAGGTCTCTGCATATTAACAGATTAAAAGATGAGTTGGAAGACAACCGTGTAGGTCATCTAGTCCAACCCCACACCCGAGCAAGAGACCCTACAGCATTTCTGACAGAAGGGAGTCCAGTCTCTTCTTGAAAGCCTCCAGGGATGAAGCTCCCACAACTTCCAAAGGCAACTTTTGTTCCATGGGTTGATGGTTCTCCCTGTCAGAAAGTTTCTCCTTATTTCTAGGTTGAATCTCTCCTTGATCAGTTTCCATCCATTATTCCTTCTCTGGCCTTCAGGTGCCTTGGAAAATAGCTTGACCCCTCTTCCTCCTCTCTGGGGCAGCCCCTCAAATATTGGGAGGTTGCTGTCCTGTCTCCCCTGGTCCTTCTCTCCCCTAGATCAGCCAGGCCCAGTTCCTGCAACCGTCCGTCGTATGTTTGAGCCTCCAGTCCCCTCATCACCCTGTTTGCTCTTCTCTGCACTCTTTCCCGAGTCTCAACATCTTTCTGAGATAGCAACAGAAATTTTGGGTTCAACTGTGGTTATAAGTCAAGGACCGCAATGGCAATAAACAAGGTGCAATGGCAATAAACTAAACTAAACTAAATTAGTCTCTGAAGCACAATTCCGGGGATCAAATGCAGTTCCAGGGTTTTCAGTTTTACTCCAGAAAAACTGAACAAATATCAAGATCGGTCATTTCAGATTCAGAACGGCTGCCTTGAAGAAGAAAGCATAAATAAACTCCCGGCAAGAAGCTTGGACAGAAAAGCCGTCGACGAATATCCCCATTTTGCAGACCAGGAACACGAAGGAAATTTTAAAACAAACCCACAAAATGCTTTTAAAGGGCATTTTTTAAAAAAACTATTCACAATTTTCTCAGGGCCAGAAAAATTGCGCCAGCATTTTGCAGGCCCTGATGGGGAGGGTGAGTGGCCCCCAGTTTCCCACCCATTCTGATCTCAGCAGTTCCATGTTTTCCTGTTACGGCTTCCTGAAGGGGAAACCCAAAACTTCAATCTAAGTTACTTGCACTATCTCTTTCTATGCTTCCACCAAAATCCCCTTTAAATGCCTTCCAGAGACACTCCAGTGTGCATGGTTTAAAATGTTCTTAGTGTGCTTTTAGAAAGGTCCGATGCACCTTTTAAGACGGCTATCATGTCACTCAGGATCCTTCTCTTTATTTGACTTTGGTCTCCAAATGTGGCAACTTGAAGACTTGTGGACTTCAATTCCCGGCATTCCCCAGCCAGGGCATGCTGGAAGTTGAAGCCCACCCTTCTTCAAGCATGCTGCCTGGGGAATTCTGGGAATTGAAGTCCACGAGTCTTAAAAGTTGCTGTCATGCCCCTGCCAGACTCTGATTCGGAGGAGGAAGCCGAACAGCCGACAGGGCAGCAGTGTGGCTCTGTTGTCTGTGGAAGAAACTGGGGAAGGGCAAAGACAGGCTGGGCAGAGCAGAGGAGAGGGAGAACAGGGGGGAGGGAGTTCGGAGGAAGACCCAGGCCCACCCCCTCTTCATCCTAGGCCATGCAGGGAGGAACGGAGAAGGGAGCAACGTGGGTTGCATGGCTTACGGGGGAGGAAAGGGCCCTGATTCCCTTCATTAGATGCAGCTGGGAACACAGTGTATAAAAAGGGGGTTTTTACTTGCAAGCAACTCAACCAACTCCAAAGCACTGCATTTTTAAAGAATACTCTTTAAATCTTTCCCTACTTTGCAAACAACTCAGAAATAAAGGGCTATATTTTACCAATCTGCTTACTTCTCAGTATTTACAATTGCCACAGAAAATCAGGGGAAAGAAAAACACAAATGCATCAATTTTAGCAGGATAGATTTACACTCGCATAAATATGCAGGGTTGTTTTTTTTTTTTAAAGAAACAGACAGCTTCCTGGAAAAATGCCCAAAGTTTAAGATTTTTACCCACCCCAGGCACTCAAAACGATGCATCTACGCCAAGTTTCAAGTTATGGAACAATTCAACTCTTAAAACGCCGAACATTTTCCTGTGGAAAACTGTAGCAACATCAGAAAAAAAAATGATCCCCTTGGGAGGCAAATACATTGCATGTAAATGACCAGATGCCCAACCCAACTCCGTCGCTGGAGGAGAGATTTATTCTGGTGGTATCCAAAACTCACTGGGTTAAAACCCTGCAACGAACACATCTAATCTGTGTAGACCAGTTCACACATTGCAATAACAATGCACAATTTTAAAAAAACCCCTTTTTATTAAAGGTTGCAATGAATTGAGTTTTATGGTTTGAAGTGATTTTACAGGTAAGACCTCAAGTTTCCACCGTCCGGTTTAATGACTGTTTGAAGTTGCTGAAAAAAATGTGACCTGATTGTTTTCCTACGTAAATATTTTAAGCCATATAATAATAAATCTATATATATATATATATATAGAAGCGAAAGGCTACTCACGCATCATCAACAAAATCTCCAGAACTGTAAAGCCTACAAACTTGAAATTTCTCTTGGCTTCTAGGGGCTCACTAAGAAAGGATTTTTCAAAATGACCATCAGAACATTAGTATTATCCTATATTATTATTATTAACACGCTCTGATGCTAAGGAGTTCTACTCCCCCTCCCCACCTGAAAAGAAATCTCTTCCCAATGCAAAACACAAGCAGAGGAGAGGAGTTTCAGTTTCAGTTTTGGTTTCAGAGCACCAAGCAGCTTTAGTACAGAACAGTTGAGCTAAGCCACGCCCAGGCTCCTTGCTGTCTCCTTGCTCACACAGCAAATACTGCTTCAGTTTCCAAACAGCCCTCAACTCTCTCACGCACTGACAAGACGCTAGCCAGATGAATACCGACGGATGCTGGTAGGCAGAGGCACATTTTCCCTCCTTATTTTCCTCCCCAGCCGGCCTGCTTTAAGAGGGATGGGCTTCAACTCCCAGAATTCCTAGAGAGCCTGGTTTAAGAGTCCTTTAACTCCCAGAATTCTGCATCTTATACTTAAATTCTGCATCTTCAACTTCACGCATCTTAAACTTGCCAAGGTGGCGCAACACTGAGTGAGAAATATTTTTTTTTAAAAGTGGAACACGCAATTCTCAAAAGCCGCATTTTTCTGGCCAGTGTTTCATCACCCAGCATGAATCAAGGGACACTCAACGACCACACTCCTTTGCAGAAGAGGCGGCGAAAGTCTTACCAACCCCACCTTATATATATATATATTTTTTTTCAAATGCACTTCTTAAACCTACCCAGCAACCCTGTTGCTTTGCTGAAGTGCAATCCCTGGCAGTTTATGGACCCCCGACCAACCGCACCGGAGTGTGATACAGGCACACCTGGAGACCACACAAGCCGCAGTCCAAGCAGGCGTGTGCAAAACAACACTTCTGGCATTCGTGCGAAGGTACTAATCCCACTCTGTAAAGCCTTAGTAAGGCCACGCCTGGAGTCCTGCATCCACTTTTGGTCCCCACATTATAAAAAAGAGGTTGAGACTCTGGAAAGAGTGCAGAGAAGAGCAACCAGGACGATTAGGGGTCTCTAGAGGTTCAAACATGCGACGAACAGCTACAGGAACTGGGCCTGGCTAGTCTAGGGAAGAGAAGGACCAGGGGAGACAGGAGATCAGCCTTCCAATATTTGAGGGGCTGCCCCAGAGAGGAGGAGGGGGTCAAGGTATTCTCCAAGGCACCCGAAGGAGCAATGGATGGAAACGGATCAAGAAGAGATTCAACCTGGAAATAAGGAGGAATTTCCTGACAGGGAGAACAATCCAGCCCAGGAACAGAAGTCGTGGGAGCTTCATCCCTGGAAGCTTTCAGGAAGAGCCTGGACTGCCCTCTGTCAGGAATGGTGTAGGGTCTCCTGCTCCCCGGTGGGGGGTTGGACTAGATGACCTACAAGGTCCCTTGCAACTCTGTTAATCTGTGAAATCTGTTTCCAGGGAAAACGGACCCCCATCTACCGTCCACCTGGGGGGAGGGGGGGTGAAACGCCACACCAGAATTTGCATCTCCACCTTCCTTTATTTGGCGACACCGGTGTCCAGAGCGTGTCTGAAGGCAGCTCTTCCCAAAGGGGTCCAAAGCGCAGGCATTTCTCCACCCGGGGTGTGTGTGTGTGTGTGAACTAAGTTATTGAGCCCTCCGGAGTAGAAGGTGCGCCTGCCTAATCGTGGGTCTCCAAAGCCAACCCAATCTCCTGCGCTGAATTTCACTGGGCGCCACGCCCGCGTTTCCTCGCCTGCCGGGGGTCAAGCCGGGCCCTTATCATGGATCGCAGCGTTTCCTGACCGCAGCAGCCGGGCACGCTGGGGATTTGAACTCAGCCAGGAAACTTTCCATCCTGCGCTCTCCGCAGAGGGGAACGCACCACCCAGAGTCCCAAACCATCGTGAAAACGTGGTGGAACATTGAGCGATATTTAAAATATTAAAACATTCATGACTTCATAAGGGTCTACAAGTATATTGCATGAAGAAATGTTATTGACGTTTACATCTATTTTCGGAGCAAGCGATAGAAAATCCCGGAGAAAGAATAGTATTGTTTAAAGACAAAGAGGTGAATATAGAAGAACCGTATTTATATGTAGGGTGTTTCAGCTTTGTCCGGGTATTTTCCCGCGTCTTTATAGTTGTGCTTTTAAGGTCGTAATGACGTTTCGGCAGAATCTCATCTGAGAGACGAGAATCACGAGCCTGGTGATGGCAGATAAGATTCTTCTAAAACGTCACTACAACTTTAAAAGCACAACTGTAAAGAGGTGGGAAAATACCCCAACAAAGCTGAACACCATACACACACACACACACACACACACACCACACACGTATAAAGCGAAATACCCCTCACGTATCATCACAAAATCTCCAGAACCGTAAAGCCTACATCTTGAAATCTGGCATGTAGGTTCCTCTTGGCTTCTAGGTGCTCACTAAGAAAAGATTTTTACAAAGGACCATCAGATCATTAGTATTTCCTAAATTATTATTCTGATTAACACACTCTGATGCTAAGGAGTTCTACTCCCCCTCCCCACCTGAAAAGAAATCTCTTCCAAATGCAAAACACAAGCAGAGGAGTTGCAGTTTCACAGCACCAAGCAGCTTTAGTACAGAACAGTTGAGCTAAACCACGCCCAGGCTCCATGCTGTCTCCTTGCTCGCACAGCAAATACTCTTTCAGTTTCCAAACAGCCCTCAACTCTCCACACACTGACAGGACGCTAGCCAGATGAATACCGATGGATGCTGGTAGGCAGAGGCAGAAATTTTTCCCCCTTATTTTCCTTCCCAAAAACTAAACCCGACCACATAGTTTCGTAGCAAAGCACAGGGGCAGAGCTAGTAAAGAAATAAGTACAAATTGGGAAAATAGTATAATATAGATAGCTGATAGATTGATAGAAAAAGCGAGAAAGGAAGGAAAGAAAAGAAAGGAAGAAAAGAGAGAGATAATAGTTGACTGATCAGTAGATTGGTAGGTAGGTAGACAGAGAAAGATCAAGAAAGCAAAAGAGAAAAAGAGATGATAGATGATTGATCAGAAGATAATAGACACATAGATAGATAGATAGATAGATAGATAGAGAGAGAGAGAGAGAGATAAAAGATTATAATTATAATGAGCATATTAAGGTTAGAAGTTGGAAGACAAAAACTATATAAACGTAATTGTATTATTACTATTAGCATTGTGTAAAAGATATATTGACCCAGTCATTACACTGTCCACAAAAAATGTTGGTTGTCACTACAAGTTAAAACGTACACACTAATTTTTTTTAAAAAAGAGCCAAACTATGGCCGGAGGGGAGGGGTGGACAGAAATGGAAAACTTGGGATGGGAAGGCTGCCCCCAGGGTGGGAGGAGGAGCATCGGGAAGGAAAGGAAGGAAAAGGATTCGAAAACAGGCAGCTATTTTTATCCGATCGAGTCCTTTCACCCACCACCCCAAATGGGAAACCACATTCCCTCCCCCCAAGGTGGTCCTGTGACTGGCTGGGCATGGCTTGTATGCAAATATTATAAATATTTATGTCAATATTGAATTTTTGATTAAAAAAAGAGCAACTTTTACCCAAAACCAGGTCCGGAGTAGGCAGGCAGATTGAGTTGCTCACAGAATCATAGATCTACTTAGAGATCTGTGTTTCCGCCATCGGCTACCTGAGCCTGTCACATAAAATTTGCTAGCAAGCTAACTCACAAAATTAACTCACAACACACCATGTATGAAAATATTTTTTTTATAAAAAAGAGCAACTTCTACCCAAAATCAGGCAAAGCAGGCAGGCAGATTGAGTTGCTCACAGAATCACAGATTCATTCAGAGATCTGTGTTTCTGCCATCGGCTACCTGAGTCTGCCCTGCTTCAATCCTAAGGGAGGTTCGGCTCTGCACAGAGCGGAAGATCTAAAAATTAGTTAGAAAGCAAGAAATGCAAGGATTTCCTGCTTTCTAGCTAATCTAAATCTCCCGGCACAGCAGAACAGATGATGGTCGGAAAAAGGAAAAAATAGCAATTTAGCGGGCAAGTTTGCCAGGTAAGGACTGAGTGGGCGGGGAGGCTTCCCGCGGGCCATGTGGGTGGTGCAGCCTTGTGTTCCTGCGTAGCCTGAATTAATTGCTTTTTTTTTTACATTTCTCTGTGGACCACCAAAATTTTCTCGTGGATGGCCCACCGGTTGGCGACTGCTGGACTAGAAGACCTCCACGGTCCCTTCCGACTCTCTTATTCTATAATCCCACATCAATTCATCAGTGGAATGGCTTCCCTCCAGAAGCTGTAGGTGCTCCATCTCTTTTTCTCTCCTCTCCTCTCCTCCTTTCCTTCCCTTCCTTTCACTTCCTTTCCTCCCCTCCCCTCCCTTTCCTCTCCTTTCCTTTTTCCTTCCCTTCCCTTCCCTTTCCTTTCCTCTCCTTCCTTCCTTTCCTTTCCTTTCCTTTCCTTTCCTTTCCTTTCTCCTTTCCCTTCCCTTCCTTGTGGAGGGTACAACAGGTCCTTGAAAAGGGGGACCCAAGGCTTTAACCCTCCGCACAACCTCTCAAGCCTCACCTCTGCTTATCCGCTGTTTCTCCCCGGATAGGATGCCTGGCGTGTCGATGATACTGATGCTGTCCAGGACGGGGTTTGGCAGCTGCGCGCACATGAACCTGCGAAGGGAAGGGAAGGGACAGGATTAGGAGGCGGCTGGGTCCGAAGCAGGGACAGAAACGGGGGTCCCCGGGGTGGCATTTCTGCCATTCTGCCTGAACTGGGTCGTTCTCCCCCCCGCCCCCCCCCCCCAAAAAAACCTTAGGGGATTGAATCATCCGTTAAACTTGCACGGGGCATTTTGCTTCTCATCCAAGAAGCTTCTTCAGCTCTGACTGGGGAATGGAAGGATTGATACTCCTTGCAGAGAGCTGGTCGTTTGCATCCTTTTTACAGAGTCGTTGAGGCCGCTTGGAGGTTTAATCTGTAGTGCAAATGGGGGTAGGGAGCCTTCTTGGAAAGGACGGCATTGTAGACTGGAGATAGAAGATGTTGTATCCCTCCCCCTCTGTCGAGCGGGGAGGGGTGTTCGATTGTGACACAGGTGGTCTCTTGGGCCCCTCTTTCAAACCAGCCGTCCTCTCTGTCCAAAATGTGGACCTCGCTACCTTCAACCAGGGCGGCCTTTGTCTTTCAAATGCTGCGTCTGGCCCGGTTGGGTTTGTTCCCCTATGTTGTGCCATGCGTTTGTGAAGTGGCTGTTTTTGTTTCGCCCACCAGAATCCTCTTGATCCGTTCCAAGAAGGCTCCACACCCCCATCGGCACCACCTCAGGTGACCCTGAGAACACAGATAAACCTCCAAGTGGCCTCAACAACTCTTTTAACAGGACGCAAACGACCAGCTGCCTGCAAGGAATATAAACCCTTCCCTTCCCCGCCATCCGGTCAGAGCTGAGGAAGCTTCTGGGATGACAAGGGAAACGTCTTCCAAGAAAAACCAGGAAGTCCAGTTGCTTCTTGAAAAAAAAAGAAAGAAAGAAAGCACTTTTGGGACAACCAAGATCTGGAGGACGGAGAATCTCCAAAGACAAGTGCTGAAAACTTTGGCTTGATGAGCCAAACTTTCCATACCTGGAAAGACATGAAAACATGAGTGCGAGTCTTGTAAAAGGCCTGCTTCTGCACCAGAAAGCCAAGGAAGATATCCCGAGTTTTGTGTGTGGGTGTGTGTGTGTGCATGTGCGCACGTGTATAATCCCCCAATCGCACCCAGGGAGGTTTTTCTTTTCTTTAATGAATTTTATTTGTACTTTTTTTTTTATTTTAACATACCTGAGTGCTTACTAAACAGTGCATTGTCTGGGCCAATTTACCAATACATAACATCAATAATAATAAATCTATCTTCTTTTATCTTCTATTCTCTCTCTCTCTCTCTCTTTCATATATATATATGTGCGTGTGTATTATATAAACACACACACACACTGCTCAAACAAATAAAGGGAACACTTAAACAACACAATGTAACTCCAAGTCAATCACACTTCTGTGAAATCAAACTGTCCACTTAGGTAGCTACACTGATTGACAATCAATTTCGCATGCTGTTGTGCGAATGGACTAGACAGCAAGTGGAAAGCAGAGGCAGTTAGCAAGACATCCCCAATAAAGGAGCGGTTCTGCAGGTGGTGACCACAGTCCACTTCTCAGTTCCTATGTTTTCTGGCTGATGGTTTGGTCACTTTTGAATGCTGGCGGTGCTGTCACTCTAGTGGTAGCATGAGACGGTGTCTACAACCCACACAAGTCGCTCAGGTAGTGCAGCTCATCCAGGATGGCACATCATTGCGAGCTGTGGCAAGAAGGTTTGCTGTGTCTATCAGCGTAGTGTCCAGAGCATGGAGGCGCTACCAGGAGACATTTCCTCACTAGTCCAACACATGAAAGCAACAGGTCATAGCATCAACTTCAATAGCACCAAAACCCTGGCCACTATAGAAAACCCCAGCCACAGAATCATCAGAGAAGCCACAGAGATTGAAAAAAGACCTGAAAGCATGAATAGAAGAGATGATTCCATCAGACTGTCAATTATTTGGAAGCCTGCACTCACAAACAAAAAAATCTCCACACCACAAGCCAGGCAAACACCTGGGCACAAACAGATCCCTCCTGATACCTCCAGCTCAAACACATCCCAACCAGGCACCCAGACAAAACCTAGCTTCCGAATAAATGATAGCCGTCCATTTACTTGGAGCCAAGCCGCACTAAAAGCCTCCAATACAGGAACACAATGTTGTCAGCCAATCAAGACACAAAAAAGCCACAAAACAGACAGAAGATATTAGAAACACCAATCAAGCAGAACACGGCAAACTCCAAGACCAACAAACACAGACCAAGACTCCCAACCAATCAGGGTGAAGAAAAAACCATTCTGGCACAGCAGTAGGCTAGCACCAAACTTAAAACAGAAACGGCTGTGAAAGTCTGACTCACAGACAGACACAATACAGAAGCCTGATGATGGCAGATGAGATTCTGCTGAAATGTTGCTTCAACTTTAAAAGCACAACTACAATGACGTGGGAACATACCCGAACAAAGCTGAATACCATACATATAAATACCCGCGAAAACTTAAGAAAACACACATATATATATATATATATATAAGCGAAATACCACTCAGGCATCATCACAAAATCTCCAGAACCGTAAAGCCTACAAACTTGAAATTTGGCATGTAGGTTCCTCTTGGCTTCTAGGTGCTCACTAAGAAAGGATTTTTCAAAATAACCATCAGAGCATTAGTATTTCCTATATTATTATTATTAACACACTCTGATGCCAAGGTGTTCTACTCCCCCTCCCCACCTGAAAAGAAATTTCTTCCAAATGCAAAACACAAGCAGAGGAGTTTCAGTTTCAGAGCACCAAGCAGCTTTAGTACAGAACAGTTGAGCTAAGCCACTCCCAGGCTCCTTGCTGTCTCCTTGCTCACACAGCAAATACTGTTTCAGTTTCCAAACAGCCCTCAACTCTCTCACGCACTGACAGGATGCTAGCCAGATGAATACCGATGGAAGCTGGTAGGCAGAGGCAGAATTTTTCTCCCCCAAAACTAAGCCCGACCACATAGTTTCGTAGCGAAGCGCGGGTATCCAACTAGTAATTATATATAATGATATTCTTCAGTTTCTAATTTCTACCTTGGTTATGTACCATTAGTAAAACAAACCTCATGTTAAAAAATATTCTGTCTTTTTTCTCCTTTATCTTTAAGATTTTAACCTGTCCATTTCCACACAGTCTAATATTTTTTAAATTATGTTGTCATCTGTAGGGATGTCCTCGTTTCCCCAATATTGTGCAAATACAACTCTCACCCCTGTCAACACTTGCAGGGAGGTTTTTCTTAAGAGATGAAACTCTGGGGAGGTTTTACAGGTTACCCCCCACTTACAACCATTCGTTTAGTGACTGTTTGAAGTTACAATGGCACTAGAAAAAAAAAGTTTAAAATGTTTTTCACACAATCCTGTGGTCAACGGGGATCAAAATTCAGCCACTCGGCCATTGGCTTGTACTTATGACGGTTGCAGTGTGGGTCACGTCCCCAGTTCGGAGAACCAGCCCGCCCACTCACTCCTTACCTGGCATGTGAGCCATCCAACTTGCTTGTCCGTCCGTCCCCTGCCCCCCCAACCATCAGCTGTTCTGGGAGATTTAGATTAGCTAGAAAGCAGGAAACTGTTGGATTTCTTGCTTTCTAGCTAATCTTTAGATCTTCGACTAAGCAGAGCCGAACCTTCCTTCGGACTGAAGGTTTTATTGTTCAGTGCAGACTCAGGTAGCTGATGGCAGAAACACAGATCTCTAAGTGAATCTGTGATTCTGTGAGCAACTCAATCTGCCTGGTTTGGGATAAAAGTTGCTCTTTTTTTTATCCAAAATTCAATATTTATATAAATATTTATAATATTTATATACAAGCCATGCCCACCCAGTCACATGACCTCCAAGCCACGCCCCAGTCAGCAAGCAACGCCCACCCAGACACATGACCAAGGCACACCCGCAAACTAGGCCACACCCACAGAACTGGTTGTTAAAGAAATTTGAATCCCAGCCCTGGTCGCGTGATCCTGTTTTGCGACTTTCTGACAAGCAAAGGCAATGGGTTCACTTAACGTTACTAATTTAACAACTCCAGTGAATCACTTAAAAACCATGTCCCTAATTTAACTGCAACTCGCACAAGTTGCAAAGTGGGGCAGAACTCACTGAGCGACCGTGACGCTTTAGGAACAGAAACACTGCGCTCCATTTTGGTCTTAAGTCAAGGACTCTTGGATGATTTGCCTTCTCCAAGCAGCTGTTGTGGGGTTGCAATCGCCACTCGGCCCAAAAGCTGTGAGAATGAGGAACTCTGGAGCAGGCAACCATAGTCTTTCAACACTCTTTACTTTGGAAACTGAGACCAGCTTAGTTGGCTTCTGAAGAAATTCTCTTCCCTTCCTTTTAAAATTGCCAAAGGACGACAAAAACACAAAGGAGGAAACCGAGGTGCAGAGCGGAGACAGATCAACTCCGCGTTGTACAGGAACTTCATCGTGGGAAGCGGGAAAGCGTGAGGAAAAAGAATACAACGTAATCCTACAATCCTACCTTGATCCTGTGTGGGGTGGGTGCATTAAAACAGAGGGGATACAATCAAGATCAAGGGAGGTACTAATACCGCTCTATAAAGCCTTAGTAAGGCCACACCTAGAGTCCTGCATCCACTTTTGGTCACCACACTATAAAAAAGAGGTTGAGACTCTGGAAAGAGTGCAGAGAAGAGCAACCAGGATGATGAGGGGACTGGAGGCTAAAACATACGATGAACGGTTGCAGGAACTGGGCCTGGCTAGTCTAGGGAAGAGAAGGACCAGGGGAGACAGGAGAGCAGCCTTGTAGTATTTGAGGGGCTGGAGAAAGGTAACACAAACAAAGGCAACACAGTCAAATAAGCAAGAAGTGTCCCTTTAATACCTCCAACTTTGCCCCCAATGTCCAGGTTACCTCCGGCTGGATTAAAAACACTCCCAAGAACTGTCTAAGTGGAGGAAATTCAGTTCGAAAACAAAGTACACACAAACTGTAACTAAAAATCCACACAAATCATG